CCAAGAGGCCAACGGCATGCTGGAAAGACCTGCGCACAGGCACAGTTTGGCAATCTGTTTCTCTCGGCTTCCTCGTCGTCCCTTTCTGGTGACAGGCAGCATGATCATAACACTAGTCTGTGCCCTGACATCCCTGACAAATGCCAGTGGGAAGCCAGCCACGATGATTGGCAGGATTGTCGTGCACGCATCCTTGTTAAACCCTTTCTGATGCTCCCAAGTTGTTAGACAAAGCTTTTTGCGGGGCCCTGGCGCTCTCTGTTAGTGCATCTCGACCTGAGATATGCATCGTAGGAGTCCAAGTACCGGTCAAGGTGTCGACGCAAATCCCACCACGATGCGTCCATCGCTCTTAGCGTTGCCTTGAAAGACAATTCTCGCAACTCGTCCTGGGGCGTGCAGCCACATTGACATGAAGCAACATGCAAGTCCGTAAAACCGCTCGGTGTGTCCTGCAGGCCCTTATACAGCGTCGACTGCCGCTGCCTCAGCTCTGTGCTATGCTCATGAGATGGACCTTTTAAGAGCCGTCTATGGTGATATGCTGTGATGCCGGTGGGACATGTGTGTTGCCTTCCCTCTCCGCCTGGCCTGCTCTTCGAGGCACCCGCATGGTAGATTCCCAGGGTGCGGGTCTTTGCACGTAAGACGTCGTTCATGGTCGCCACGAAGGACGCCGTCCTTCGTTCTGCGGCCACTGCGCCGGAAGTTTGTATGTGGGCGCAGGCCTGCAGCGTTGCTTTTAGTCTGGCCGTCTCCTCGACAAGCATAGATGCGCTCGAAGTCATATTGCCACCCCAGCCCTGTCATCATGTCACATATGAACTGGTCAAACATGCTACAGGTGTGAAAGCCTTGGCACACGGTTTCCGTCCCAAGCAACCAAAAAACACTTAAAGCTTCGAGCCCCTTCATGGTTAGTTATAGCAAATCCATGTCGGCCCATGTGCAGTCTCCATCACATGGTTTGGATATGTTCGAAGATTCGAAGACAGTTCACAACTGGGCATAGCGGCATAACCAATCGGCATCAGCTCAGGCCTTACCATCACTATACTGTGGAATCGGTGTGCGACATTACTGCCTACTTGAATTTAAAGCGCACCGAAACCAAAACCCAAACCGTCACAACATGAGCGCCTGCAACGCACTAGCCGCACTAGCCTTTAGTGACATACATACCCTCAACCTCCCTGAACCTCTGTTGGCCTCTCTCGTTGCCTGGACAGCGGATTGGAACGCCCGGAGAGCACGCTGAGAGGCGATCTTTGCCGTGGGGTGCAGGTTCCGCTGGAGGAGTTGTCGCATCTCACGGACGTCCGTGGCCAGCCCGGCACGCATCTGCTGGAAGTCTTCGTGCTGCGAGGCTGCTAAAAGGCTGGCCGACTGAGAGCTGTCCGGGACGAATGCCTGGAAGAGGTTGCGCCTCGGATCCCAAACTCATTCAAGTGCTGGGGAGGCAAGGGCTCCGTTTTTCAGCAGCGGCACACGATGTCGCAAGCGCAAACAGCGGAGCCGAGCGGCATCTCCCGCTGAAGAACCGAAACGCCCTCTTCCAGGCTCGTGAGGATCGCTGCGTCGCCTTTCTTCACGGCGTCCCGAACACAGTGGAGGTCGCAAAAGATCCGCGCCAGGCCATGCCTTAATTAGGCAAGTGCTCCCATAGTTCCACGACTAAGCAGTCCCGTCCCGACCCGAAGCTCCAATCTCTTGCGGGATACTGTAAGGAGCTGCAGTCCTCGTTGTCAGCCGTGGCGAATCGGCTGTCTCTTGCCCAGAGCCTCATCTCATTGTTCAGCATGGATACGCGGCGGAACGCCTCGCAGGAAGGCCCCGAGAGCGACCCATACCCAAGCACCCGACCAACCCCATGTCATTCACTCCAAGCATGTGGCTTTCCTACGCTCTCCTTGACCACGTTCGAGGCGATCTTGCCCGTCTTGATGGTGATCCCCACGCCGAAAATACCGACCTGGTGCCAGGTACTACCTACCTAAATGCCCTCTCCATGCGTCTGCCAACCCGTATTATAGAGCCTCCTGACCGTTGAGCATCCGAGCCCTTTCGAGAACGTAACTTCACATGATGTCCAACATTGACATTCCCTGACCCCCTTCTCAGAGATCGACAAACCAAGGCGACCCCGAAAACCAGGAAAGCGCAAAACGTGCTGCACAGTTTTCCGAACATATTTTCACGTGATGAGGAAACTTCCTGCCTGAACCTCAGGAAGCGCTGCCAACGGAGCCTCGGTCTTCTCCAAAAACTCGAGTCTCTGCTGAAACCTCAGCTGTATCGTGAGGCTTCGGCAGGCCATCGCCAAGGAACTTATAAGGGCAACTCTGCATAATTACTTCCCTAGATTAGGATTAGGATACGTGTCGGGAGTTGTGTGCTGGACCACTCCCGAACACTTGTCAGCCCTCTGTTCGAAACATGGACCTCAACGAGCTTGAGTTTCGAGCACGTTCGCCCTAGGTCTTGGCTTTCTGCTGAGGCACACCTCGTACTCCCTTTGCCACTGCGCCAGCTTGAAGTCCCGCTTGATCTCCCGACTGGCGCACTCCTGGACTTTCAACTGCTGTTTCGAACCCGCCCATGCACAAGCTTTCTGCCCCTGGATGTTTTATATGTTTTATGATGTTTTAGAAGATCTCGTATTTCATCAACCATCACATTTAGCTCTGGCGTCGCTGACTGTTTTCGGTGTGAGGCCCGACGCCCCTGGCTGGTCCACATCATCAAGGTTCCACGCGTAGTAGGACATCCCTTCGCCATCATTGTCTATTTCGGACCCGAAGACGTCTCCAAAGCCATCGATGTCAGGAATGCCGAAGAAGTTGTCCGGCGGGAGGCCAGTTTTCTTCTTCTTGGTTTTTGGAGTGCTGAAAACTAAGCCACACGGGTTGTCCGTGTCTTTGAGCTCCTCCGCCACTTCGTTCATGATCGTCTGATCAAACTTCTCAGAGCCTGGGTCGGACTCCTCCTTGCACTCAGGCACGTAGGCCGGATCCTGACGGAAGAGGACAAGTGAGGACAAGTGTAGGACAAGTGGTCTGAGAGGAGCAGGTCAGTCCTCGGCAGCGAAGGTCAGCTGAGGTGGCACCTTTCGCTTCGACTGGAAACGCTTCGGCAGCTTCGCTCCGAAGGCCTCGAACTTGGCATCGAAGTCACTCACTGGGACGACCTGCACAGTGCCGAGGAGCCTTCAGATGTTCTGCGGAGTTGTAGTTTTAACGTTCCTTGCGTTTCAGAAAATGTGGGAGAATGCCTTTAAAACTAAGCCCAACCCAGCCGTGCACTTCCGTCAACTCTTCCCAGCCGTCTGAAGCCCTGCTTTTCCACTATGCCTCTTTTGTCTACTTGGCTGTGGGCTCCTACAGTAGATGCTCCTAGCATTAAAGTGCCACGTCTGAGATGCACTAGTCGCGGCGCAGTTGGCAATGACATATGATTTCCCAAGTTGCTGAATTCACAAAATCAAAGATGTGACAGGATGTGACGGGACATACGGCAAGGAAATGCTCGAGACTGCTCCGACTAGAATGACAGCAACCCAAAGAGTGTCTACAATGACTTTTTCATTGTGGCCCACAGGGTGGCAATTGGGAATGCTGTCGTGAGTTGCATCAAGAAAATGTTGGGCGGAAGATTTTGATACAGCAGAACTAACAGTAGCACCAAGGCTATGAGATGCTAGAGGTCTTTCAAACGTTCGCGAAGTCATTCTCTCTAATCCAGAGCGCCCAGTGGAGCTGTTGCTTTACAGGGTCATGGAAACAATGGCCACATATGGCCACAATAGTTTTCACATGCTTTTAGCCAGCCGTTGACAAGACATGACAAGAGCACATCGTAAAAAGTGCGCAACAACGTTGTGCAAAGAGCCTGCCAACGAAAGTTGAAAGCCCCATCATGCCAAACCCCCGCGCTCTCCCTCACTCTACGCCCTGGGCCCGAAGACCTGCGCTCAAGCACGCGGTGAACTGACCCCAACGTATAAGCCTCTTTACATTTTAAGCTCAAAGGCTTCATCTGCTTTGGCACTGCTGGTGCCTGCCAGTTCTCCCCGCCCAGCTGCTGGTCCAGTGGATTTACCAGATCGCTGGAGACACATTTCCGCGTTGCGACAAATGATGTACACCACAGCCCGGTGTCCGCATTATGATTCAGGGTGCCTAAAGCCCTCCCGCTCCAGTCGTGCCCGGCGTATCGGGGTCGGCCAAAATCATCGCGGGCAACCGCATCGTATATCCCTTGCTCTGCTGGGTCGGGAGGCACGCGGCCTGACCCGAACTTGGTCATGCGCACGGGGTTGGCGGTGATCTGGCAGCATCGGAAACGGAAGTTTGTCCACCTGCTCTTGGAGTCAATCTCAGCCTGAATGGCTTGAAGACCGCGGTCCTTGCCACAGTCGACGTCGATTTGCGAGGTGCTCCCGTCGACTGTCTGTTGCACCGAGGTCTCCTCGGTGCAGGCACCCAGGTTGGGCACTTCCACACACACAAAGGTGACCAGCAAGGTGCTCTTGTTGAACTTCTGCATCAGCGTTCCAGCATCACAAACGCAATTGATTTCGTTGCCTTGAAGTGCGCTGGACTTGTACCAGGTCCCCTCGAGACTGGCAGGCTCACTGCGGTCGTACGGTACCTGCCGGGCTTTGTAAACCGTGCTGCTGATTCCATTCCCCTCGTTGGAGGAGAGCACTGCTACACGTGGAAACAACACCGGAGGATCGAAAGTATTCAGGGTGAACTCATAATAGACGCCCAACCAGCCGTCATAGGGCCCCGTGTCCGGAAGCTTCCAAGTGCAGCAAGAGCGAGCAGCAGCGAGGTTGATGTATTTCATTGGCTGACCGCGATTTAGCAGTTCCACCAACCCATCAGATGCTGGTAGGTTGGCCTTGAATGCCTGATCCTCCCTTCCATCACAGTCCTTACATGCAGCCGGAACCGGTGCCCCTTCCCCGCACCTAATGACAAAATCTCAGGAAGCGCTCCTGTAACTCGTTGGCGATGCAGTCCGGAAGGTCTTGAGATCCCGGCTGGCAAGGCACTGCTGCAATGCACTTCTGCCAGCGGCTGTGCCTTGCGCAACACGAGTCTAGACCCTTCCGATAACGGTCGATACTTGTGGACCCTAGTTGACCCACCCGTATTTCGGGACAAGCTGAGCTGCAGCTAATTCTCCATAGACCATTCTAGACTGCGTCGAGGACCCTTTCGTAAAGACCCTGTTCCACACGAGCAAACAACCCCGTCGGCATGTCACATGTTCTTAGTGGGCTGGACCCTTCCACGGAGCAGCAGCCTCCTGCGCAAAAGCTCCAAGAGACTTCCATTTCGAACGAATTTCTGTCCCACTGTAGTCGTCTGTGAAGAAACGAAGAGAAAAGATACTCAATTGGGGCTGGACGCACGATCTGAAAACTCAACTCGATTTCCACCGGCTCCCGTTTTTTGCCGGTGGTTGCGCCGGTACAACTGCCAATAATCTGTGTCCTTGTGAACTCGATCCTGTTCAGGGTGCTGCCAAAGGGGCCGGCATTACAGTCGAGGTTCGCAGAGACATCGAAAAGGGTCGCAGCAGTGGCGTCTGGTGCCCCCTCTACCTGACAACAAGCCGCACAAAACTCTTCCCAAGCAGACCTCCTTGGCCCCTTGCCTTGCGGTTTTGGTTGGTGTTGTAAGACTCGGAGAAGAGGCTGGCCACTGTGTTCCCGTCAAGCAGCTGCTCTGAGGAGCCGTCACACGGAGCAAGATCTAAGCTGCCGCCTGCCAAACAACTTCGCTGATTCGCCCACACCCCTATCTTCCCGATCCTGTTTTGCATTTGCTAAAGGGCTCTGGACATGCAACGCGATTCATCTGTATTGGCTTGTCTACCGTACGCGCATGGTGGTACATACATGGCGGTACTTACATACACATTTGCTATTCTATCGCGTCGACACAGCACGATACCGGATTATGAACTTCCAGATTTGCTGTAATTTTATGGGTTTGCGGTGAGTTGACACCCTGTCGCCTGAAGCTCTGAAAAAGCTCTGACCAACTGTGCTTTTCGTGGTGCCGTGATACACTGTGTTTCGGAGCATCGAGTTTCAAAAGCGAAGCTTCTGACGTACAAGGAACTTTGCAGACTCTCATGCGAGCTGTGGTTTGGCATCGGGAGGGTGCCCCCATGACAGACCATACTCTCATGATTCCCACTGTCGGCAACGGTGGCTCAAGCACGTTCTGAGTTTTGACCCTGTTCCTTTCCGTTTGCGGTTCGCCCGTTTGTCTGGAGCTTCGAAAACAGCCCGCCCCTTCCGAAAAGGAACAAATTCAAACCACAGGGTGTATTATTTATTCTTTCCGTTTCAAAACCAAAACCCACTCCCAAATCCAAACGAAACAGCAGGAAACGGAAAAAACAACAAAAAAAACATGGAACCCACAGTGTGTTTTCCATTGTTTCCACTTCGGAACCCAAATCCCTCAAATCCAAACGAAATCGCTCCGGTTCCGTTTTGTATTTTGGGGGTGCCTGGTTTTCCGTTACCGGTTCAAGGAAAACTGAAAAAAGTGAAAACGCAAGGCCGCGGCCAAACGGAAGACACAACGGAATGAAATGTGCCTTGCTGCCAAGAAGGTAGCGAAACCCAACAAAATCCTGACTGCCGCATGCCTGGCACCTTGAACTCCATTTTCCATGACCTCCAAAATCTACACAATGTCTCGCCCTTTGTCTTGGAATCTTGCAAAAACATGTCGCGCCGTAAGCTGTTGGACTCCTCGAATTTGCAGAAGCTCCAACTTGTAAGCATCTTGACTTCAGGACTCTCCGAAGCGTTGTCCTGCAGTAGATCTTGGATGTATGAGTTTCAGTAGTGTGAAAGCTTCAAGCATTTCTATGTTGCCACTCCCAGTAAGTGTCCAACTGAATTAAATATTCCAACGAGGAAAAACAGAAGACTAAAGATATTATTGCTGAAATTTCTGAGAATGTTTGAACACAAAACTGGACATCGGGAACCAAGAGGCCCATACTGACTTGTTGACAGTTTTGGGCAATCACGACCGTCGAAGTTTCGATATTAGGAAGTTAGGAAGCTCCAAAGCTTAGAGCGATCCTTTGTAAATAATTAGGTTTGTATCTTGGTTCCCAGACTTGAGCCGGTGTTAACTAACACAGCCGTGAGGAATGCAGGGCCAAGAACGACCGGATGTTCACTCCAAAGCTCAGGCCCGTGCTGATTCAAAAGCGCCATGTACATCACTGGCCAGGAAGCAAGAACCAAGATTCACAGAAAAGTACGAGTAGCAGATTCATAGAAAAGTAGTAGGCCCTTGTAAATGACTGAACCTAGATTCGCCCCAAGAGTTGCGGGTTCTGTTAAGCTTTAACTGTTTTACACGGGCCTGTGTTTGGGAACCCCAAATTAGCCTACATGGCCTACATGTTTGATACAAATCTAAGGTTCTTGGGTCCTGGCCCCCGTGTCAGTATGCACGGCACGTGCCGATAAGCACAGACCCGAACTGGACAGCTTTAGTCAGTCTGTGAGGCGTGTTGGTTTGGTGCTGTATCTGGGGTGGTGTTGGAGGCCGTGGGGGATGCTCCAAGTATACATGCATGCATGCACATATCCATCCATCTGTGTGGGAGCTCCTGGCTTCAGATTCAGCCCCAACCATCCTCCGGGTTCTACATCCCACATAGGGTTGACGTGTGTTCCCTGCTATTGCCCTAAACTTCGAGGTAGGTCAACACTGCAGAAGCTTCAGCCCAGTGACTTGCCGTGCTCAGGCATTGCCTCTCGTCTGTCGCCGACACGAACTGTCGCCTTGAATTCAGCACTGTGTTGGCTGTTCTTACGCATATTGCCGTGGGCCGAAGGTTCATGAAAGGCTTGTGGCTCTCGGGAACGTAAAGCTCGTGAGGTTGGTGACGGGCGGACAGGCTAGGCTTTTGTGGACGTCAGTCTGTCCGGCAGAGACGAGGCCCGCCTTTCAAACAATGCCCGGTCCCGAAACAAATGTGGAGACCTGTTTCCAGCCGAGCGGACAGAACTTAGATGTAAGTCTCGACAGTACACGGGTCAAATCAACAATCGAGCCGGAGCAGAGAATTGGAATAAACAGTATACACCAGAGTTATCATAACGTCACTCCTACAGCCGACCCCCTTTGCACAGGCAGCGGCCACAAGCTAATTCAAGTCTCAAGCGTCTATTCATCCCCTCCATGTTCCATACATGTGTCTGGTCCCGGAGCTGAAGCACTTGTTGCGCGTGGAAGTGCAGGAGTGCTTCAGGAATTCCACGGCTGTGATACGTCCAGAGCATGTTGGGAGACGAGACAAGACAAGGGACGCCGATTTGCGACGTGGTAGTGGCGTAATGCCCTGTATGGATGTAGCTGCCTCTGACTCTGTGTGCCGCTCGCAGTCTCAAGGCGGGAACCGACACATCCCCACTGTGCAACCGCTGCTGGCTTCGAGTCATACAGTGTTTTGCTAATGATATAATGCCGGGGGCGACTGCTTCGGCGTCGATGTGTGGTGCCACGTATTGTACGGGTGCCGAGACGGGCCACCTGATACAAACTCGGAAGGTTCGGACGATTAGGAGACTGCACAAGGCTTCAGAAGACCCGGAGCTGCTCAGCAGTACGACCAACAGCTGGCGAAATTCATGCCCAACGCCCAAGCTTGATTGAGCTCACTTGCATGCAGACCAGCCATTCTGGCGGGTTGTTCTTTACGGGACTTGGCTGCCCCCGCACGGCTTACACTGGTCGAAGGAGCCATGCTGCTTGCTTCCGTGGCGCTCCTGTGGCGCGGCCGTCGGCTTTTGTTTCACGTAGAAATCGCCCAGCACCTGCTCGCCTGCACCTGCGAATCCCGCTCGAGCCAAGGCGATGTGGACCTTGAAGCCCTCAAAGAAATAGAGCTCCTGACAGTTGCTTCGTCTACGTTAAGTTTCGGCACTTGAGTGGTGACCGCGACAGCCATCAAAGGGCTTCAAGCAGGAGTCACAACTCCTTGACAAACAAGAAGCACGTGCATAGCCGTGAGGCTTGGTTAAAAGCAGTGCGAACAGAAACCAAGCGCACAACACATGTGGGAAGCAACTAATTCGTGACTAGAAGTCATAAATAGTAACTGGTATCTAGTACATACTGGATGCTTTTCGGAGAATTACGAGTGTAGAGCTCCTGCCAGTTGCGCGAGTCGAGGTCCTGGTAGTAGCTGCTAACGACCTGGACAAGGGCGATGCACGAGAACTGGCTGAAGCCGTCGGCCCCATCTCGGTCGAGCCATTTGCCATTGGCGCAAATCTGCTCGAAGTTGGTTCTGGG